ACCTGGGAAGAAGAAAATGCCATGGTTCAGTGCTGGCTTCTCAATTCCATGACCAGAAATTTAAGGGCTATTTTTCTTAGCCTTTCTACTGCGAAAGAAGTGTGGGATGCTGTTACTCAGACCTATTCTATTGGTAAAGACGCATCAAAATTATATGAGCTTCGGTGTAAGGCACTCGCAACTCGTCAGAATGGTACGTCTTTATCTGATTATTATGGTACATTACAGTTAATTTGGCAAGAAATCGATGTCTTGCGACCAAGCAAAATGAAGTGTTCAGATGATGTTGCTGCCCGCACAACGGAAATTTCGAACGAACGATTATATGACTTCTTGGCTGGACTTGACCATCATTTGGATAGAATTCGAGGTCAAGTTCTAGCCGAAGATCCTCTCCCGAGTGTGCAAGCCGCATATGCACAGGTGTGCTCTGAAGCTAATAGGCAAGCAACCATGTTAGCTGGCTCACATGTTGACGGGTCAGCTATGACAACCACTTTACATCGCCCTGTACCTAGAAGTGGTCATCCAAAGCCGGGACAAAAGGAGCTTGACACACGCCAATGTACCCACTGTGGGAAGAAAAAACACACTCGGGAAACTTGTTTCGAATTGGTTGGATATCCAGATTGGTGGGTGGACAAACAAGAAAAGGGAAAAGAGAAGAAAAAAAGTGTTGCAAATTTGGCTTCACAACCTTTACCTCATGGTTCTTCACCACATATGGATCAGTCTGCTCTCAGAGTTTTCCCCAACACTACTTCCACTTCCTCACCATATCCAGGTACAAGTCACTATGGTTTAGCAGTGAGCACACCCTTTAATGCTAGCGATAAACTCTGGATCATTGATTCAGGAGCTTCCGATCATATGACTAATAATACTGCTTGGTTTGTTTCCCCCAGTCATCCACATACAAAAACTGTTAAGGTTGCTAACGGTTTTTCCACTCCAGTTTTAGGAGCAGGATCTGTTTCCCTAACTCCATCATTGTCGCTGTCCTCTGTTTTACATGTCCCTACTCTCTCCCATAATTTGCTTTCTATTAGTCAAATTACTAAAAATCTCAATTGTTTGGCTATTTTTTCTCCTACCTCTTGTTTATTTCAGGATCTTCAGACAAAGGAGCAGATTGGTCATGGTAAGGAAAGCGGAGGATTGTACTACTTGGACTCAAAACTGCCTGATCCTTAAGTAAGAAGTGGTTATCAAGTTAGTACAGAACAGGCTAACGCCGAAATTTGGTTGTGGCACAAAAGATTGGGTCACCCATCCTTTCAATATTTACAACTTCTATTTCCTTCTTTATTTGCTAAAGTTCATGTGTCTGACTTCCATTGCGAAACTTGTATTTTTGCAAAAAGTCATCGTGTTTCATTCCCTGTAAGCTCCAATAAAAGTCATATTCCATTCTCTCTTATTCACTCCGATGTGTGGGGTCCATTTCATGTTCCTACTTACACTGGTGCTAAGTACTTTGTCTCCTTCATTGATGATTGTACTCGTGTCTCTTGGGTTTATCTGTTGAAAAATAAAAGTGATGTCTCATCCATTTTTCCTATATTTCATCACATGATTCAAACACAGTTTCATGTACCAGTGCAAGTAGTCCGATCTGACAATGGGGGTGAGTATTTGAATTCTGAACTTAGAACCTTTTTTGAGCAAAATGGCATCATACACCAAACTTCCAGTCCATATACTCCTCAACAGAACGGTATAGCAGAACGTAAACATCGTCATCTTTTAGAAGTGGCTCGTTCTTTATGCTTT